TCTGTCCTTTTTAATCCTTCCCCCTCACTGCTTTCTCTTTGTGCTCTCATCCTCCAACTGCCACAGGGTGCTGGTGTTAAATGGTGACTTGATGTTGCAGCAGGAGCGCAAATGCTGCGTGGAGCAGAATTCGGAGAAGAAATCGATGACCCTGCACTGCTCTGACCTGACTACCAGACAATACGCTTACAAGCACATCACCAGCTGTGTGTGTGAATCTTGCAGCAGGATCTGAAATGTAGAGCTAGCAAAACCAAGATGAAGCCATTTGAAATCATTAGATTAAATAGAATTCAAATCTAATTCAGCAGTACTGGATGGTTTTCTTCTGTGTTTAAAGAAGGTACTGAATCTGTTTTCTGCCAAATAAACACATCTGACAATCACCAAAAGACTCTGATTTGACCTTAATTTCTTCTGCATTTATTAAACATTTCCTGGAAATTACAAAAAGAGTTGCTCAACAGTTGTATCTAGCCTTGCAGGTACATTTTAGTTAGTGCTGTGCGATACTGCCGATTTTGGTATTGATACCAAGTAAATACAGGGCAGTATTGCTAATACCAATCTGATATAGTCTCTGATATTTTGATACATATTTTCATATAATAGTATATAATACAAGAAAATATGATGTGCACATACTGGGGAGGGTAGACAGTCTTTCTTTTTGCAACATCCCTGGGCTTCAATTTTAGCATAGAGTCATGTTGGCTGTGGCCTGGTTTTCTGGCTATTGTGTGGCAATGTTCTGCTTCTGCTAGCACTGTTAACAAATTATTGTTTTCTTTACTCCTGTTTGTTCTGGTGTAAGAAGGTTCTGCTGGGCAAAAAGACCATGGAAAAAAGAGATTGTGAGGCACGCAGGCAGGGTTTCTAGGGTGGTGGTCCGACTGCTAACAGGGAAAGGCAGGCTAAGGCCAACAGATGGAGCCACTGGAAAATGTAACCACTCTTTCAGCTCAGCCATCTCTCTAGTGATAATAGGACCATCTTTATTTAAAGGAAAGGCAAAGCAAGCAAGGAGTACATGAATGGGTGTATAAACTAGTCTTTGTGTTCTCAAA